TAAGAACCGGAACTTAGTGAATTATTCCAGGTCGAGCTCTTGGGAAAGGAAAATGACAAAATGTTCTGTACAACCGAAGGAAGAATAAAGTATATTCTGAATATTAAGAGATTAAATTCCCAAAAATGAGCTCCTTGGCAGAGAATGGCCAAAGTTATTTAAAGAGTGACTTCCCATCTTTGAATTCACCCATTGAATAAAACAATATTAAACCATTGTTTAATAATTCAACGATCATCATTTCTTTCACTTTGCTCCTGCACAGAGCTTAATCACATGAAGGGCTCCCTATGAGCAGTTTCCAAAATGATGAACACCTAATTCAATTATTACAGGAATAACTCCAGACTTTGAAAAGTTTTCTCTGAACTAAAACAACCCTTGAGAATTCCCTTATACAACCACCACCAGCATATGTTTATATGCACTATATTTGGGCATAATATATATATTTAATATTGTAAACCTGCTTAGAAGTTACTTGTGATTATACTCTATTCATATCTCTTGGGAAGGAACTTCTTTAAAATATTTTCCACAAGGTCTTTTATTACTTGAAATACTAGACAAAAGAGGTAGATTCTATATATAAAAAAAAATCAATAAATAAATACTTGGCACATTAAAACTTGTAGTATCCAGTTTAGTAAATAGTTATATAAATTTTAAAGCATTCTTCTCCTGTGACAAATTATATGTCTGGATGTGGATTCAAATTTCAGATACCCAAACAGCTGGTGCCTGTCAGGCAGCTCAGAGAACAAAGTACGTCTTTGCTTAGCAAGAGAACAAGGTTTTATTTATTAATGTTTTACCAAGTAAACTAAAATTAACACTATTCTACTCAGAAATATGTATCTACACTTGATATATCCCATTAAAATATATCCAGAGAATACGTTAACTTCATCCCAGAGTGAAAAATATCATCAGGTAAAGCTGAACTAAAAAAGTAGCTTCTTGATCGAAGATAAACATGTAAACATATAAGCCAAAGCCACAATACAATTGGCTTTCCTCCTTCCTAAATTACATAATTACCTCAAAGAACAATCTACCTCAAGAAGTAGTAGTTCAGACCCAGGTTCTATACTGAGTTGCCATTAAAATTGTGTATAGGGTAAAATTCAAGTGGAAGCAAAGATAACTTATAATTGAAATTTAAAACTAGATCCTAAAAGTACAGAAGTATACTGTTCATATCTTAAATTATATTTCAGGCGTAGGTGGGTAATTCATCCTCATAGTTTTGAAAAACTGGTGAAACACCCATCAATGTTAAGATGGAATAAATAATATATTTTTAGATGACAAATGAAACATTAATTCTCAACCTTCGGTTAGTTCACCATGTTTCTATACACGAATGATAATGAGAAAAATGTAATCTGCACAGCTACCCAGGCAAAAAAAAAAAAATCACTATCTAGTCACACGTTCATTCTTTGGTGGAAAAAAACATTTGTCTTTCTATACTTATACTTTTGGGTGCTTTTAGTTAACTTCAACTCTAAAAATAAGGAATCACAAGAGCTATGAGTGACCTAGTGTCAGGGGAATGAACTAGCAACAAACTCCAAGCACAGCATTGTCTAACTAAGAAAACTTACCCTCATATATATTTTTTTGTACCCTCATATTTTTAAGCATCCCAAACTCTTGGCCATCTCAGATCTGTCTAACCATGAGCCCATTAAGTCATCTTGGCTGCCATGAAGATAAAAATGACAGTGCAGTTACTTGAGTCAGTTTAAAGAGGCCCAGGATGGTTGAAGGGAAAGATTAGGAGTCCTGGGGTGCTGAAAGACTATCCCAGCTGTAGCTCCCAGATCCCAGTAGCACACTGAGGTCAAGCGCACAAAGCTGCTCATAGAGAAAAACCTGTGGAGGGAATCAGGGGTTTTGCGGTGTATCAACAATTTCATCAGGCACAATCAGCCTTTCCATCTTCTACATCCAGACATATAATACATCACAGAAGAACACTTTAAAATTTATATAACTACCTACTCAACTGGATACCACAAGGTTTTATTGTGCCGTTAATAGGATGTAAGCAGTAGAGCGTTTGTGAGTTGATCGCATAGCCAACACATGCAGCCATTTCTGGAATTTAGGCTCTGTAATTTGATGATCACAGTAGAAATTATTTGGCGCTTAAAAGTGGTTCTTGGTAAAAACGTAGATTTTTTCTTTGTGAATCTTCACAGAGGCCTTTTTCCTCATATACATATCTTACTAAGGCGTAAGTGAAATAAAGCCCCTTGCCCTATTTTGTTAAAAAAAAAAAAACAGCCTTGGAAGTGGAGACCATGGAATTATATCATTGGCAAAAGAACAGTCTTGTAGAAGCTATGAGAGTTCTACAAACTCTCCAGGAAATGTCTGGGATGTTAGCACCAGCCGATATTATTACCGGGAACACATTTTGTTGTTATTGTTGTTTTAGCAAGGGCACGTTTCCAAAATGAGAATTATTCACTTTTTAACTACGGAATTCCTTAGCAGTTTCATTCTAACCTTCCTGTTTTGGTGGAAGATATTATATCATTATCACCAATAATAATAATATCTGTTCCCTTTGGTGGGGGTTGGATGGTAGCAGAGGTTACTTAATTGTGTTTCAGGATATATAATAAGCACTGAGCAGACATTATTTTATTTATACAATCCTGCAACATAGGCATTGTCCTTTCTGTTTTATAGATGATGTAATAAAGGCTCAGAAAGTTTAAATACTTTGTCAAGTAATAGTGGAGCTAGGATTCAGTCTGCCAGCCCCTGTTCCTAACCACTTTTCCATATTGCTTCCAAGTTGTTAGCACCATAGAAGAAGCTGGCCAAATACCTTTAAAACATCTCTACTCCTCTATTTCTCTATCCTTATGTTTAGCGTACCATTAATGGCAATATACAACTCAGTAGGAGTCAAAGATTTTCCAGATTACAGTTAAGCTGAGAAATCAATTGGTGAAAATACAAATAAATTAGTCATAACATTTTGAAAATGAAAAATGTCCTTATATATCTCTGATTCTAATTCCCATCTTTTACAGGCAAAGAAAATGCACTTCAGTGATACTTGGTGTCTTTTCTGAGGTGACAAAGCTCATTAGTGTTAGAACTTGTACCAGAAAATAAGACTTCCAGCTCAGTGTTCAACCCTTTTATTCCTACTACACCAATAAATTACAGGATTATTCTTGACCTTATGAAGTTACTATTAGGTTGTTCTAAAGAAAAAGATGTCCAAACTTATTTGATATAACACTTAATTGAAACAAGTTTAGTTTCTAAAAATTTTCAAAGAGCACATTTTGTTAATAACTTTGTGTACATTTGTTCTTCACATCATCACTACACATATAGACAAATAACTAAGAGAGTATTGCAACTATTCCCCCCCCAAAATTGCTGACATTCAGGGCCAAAATGTAAGCATCCATTCATAAATGTAAAGCAGTTCAATCAAAACCAGCTCTTGTGTTTACACAGAACAAAGTTACTCACATTCAGTCACCTGTAGAGAAGCACGGTGTGTACCATATATACAAGTCAATTAACATCCATTTCTGGGAACCCTTTTCAAAGAAACAGTTTTCTTTATATCCTATGGTAAGAGTCCTTCTGAAATATATAAGACCCAGGGCTTTTCTCTGAGGCATCCACTATTTTGTAATATTTTTAGGAGGAGTATTACTGCTACTCAATGTAAAAAATTCAGTGAGAAATCAGTATTTTTAGCATATCACTAAAAATTACAATTGATTTTAAAGCAAAGGCATTAAGTTCTATTTTCAGGCCTTTTTGACCAGCACTGATTGGAAACCCAGGTTGAAATCAGAGGTCTTTATTTCACATAAGGCACGTACTACTTGGAGTGATTGTGATGAAATTTTTCCATGCAGATCCCTACAATCACTTATGCCTTTATCTTTGTCCTTATATGCTACATTACACCACCTGTTGTATGTAAAAAAAACCAAAAAAACCTCTATAATATTTAAAACGCTTCTTTCTTTTTTCTGCCAACAATTTTATTTTAAACATGTTATGGCTAATTGAATGGAGCATTTGTGGTTATGCTACAAAATATTTTAAAGGAAACTATAGAAAATATAGATTCCAGATAAAATAAATAATTGGTTTTTTGCTCAAATGGCTCTCCCTTGTAATTACTAATAATAGTAATAACAATAATAACAACCAGTTATTAAATCCTTAGTAATAATAACAACCAGTTATTAAAAATCTAATTCAGTGTTACTAAATCACAGAAAAAAATAAACAGAAATATATCAAGCTCATGAGACAATTCATCAAGAAGATATAATATCCTTTAAATCGATATTAAAAGGTAAATATTTAATATAGAAGTGAACATATTAAAATATAAAATAAATAACACATTAGAGAGCATATAGAGATCACGTTATTATTAGAAAGTTAAATCTGTTTTTAATGTTAGTATTGGTGATCTTCAGTGAGAATAGATTATTTTAGAAAAAAAGGATAATGTATTTTAAACAACCAAACACCTCTATATTGTTATCACTCCCTATACTCAAGGCCTCAACAAAGCCATTAAATAAAAGACTAAAGCACCAGTATGATAGTTCCAATTCCACTATACGTTTATGTTTAAAAAAAACTGGACACATTGGACATTTACATAGAGATGTACAGCCTCGAAATCCATTAGTTTAGCTTCGCTAGCTTTCATATTTCCTCTAAATACTATGAATCATAAACATCTGCATGATTCTAAAACACAAGATCAGTCATGCCTAGTCTGTACCATAAGTCACCATTTCAAGACAGAGGCTCTATTTCTATTGAGAGAAAAGGAATAGTAAGGAGTTTACACATCAAATGATGCCTTTGATTCCTGTAATTTACATTAAAACAACATTAGGTTAAAAATGGCAACATGAAGATGATTTTAAAATAAGAAAAACTAGATTTTATGGTGCAGACAATTAAATGTTGTGCCAGCTTACCTGATAAAACAGAGCCTTAGGGATCACAGCATAACAAAGCCCAGCATCCAAGATGGTTAGAGTGTAATGTGCCTTCCTTTGCAGTTGTTCACATTTTTGGCCACAGAGGTTTACCAATGAATTACAATGTTTTTTTCTTTGCTTTCTCTGTGGATAAGAAAACAAAGAGACCTTTCCAGAATCCTCTCGGCTATGCCTCCGCTTCCTGTTCTGAGATTCACTCTATGGTACCCAACATATATCAGAAAACAGCTTTGAGAGAAAAAAAAAAAAAAGCTGACAACCCAACGTGGTACCGCCATCTATTGGCAGACACGCAAAATTGAACAAAAGGAAAAACATCCCCATTATTTCTGTGGTAAAGTAAAACATAACCTATCCACTGCAGATGAGCATGCACAAAGAGACTCTTTTACATGTTCAATTATTTGCATTTCACTATATTTTCTCTAAACTTTATAATTTAAACAGTCGATTCACCCATAAACTTCTACACACACACACACACACACACACACCAAATTTATCTTTGAAAATTAGGTTTTCAGATTACTTTACGCTTTACATGCAGTTTTGCAGTATCACTCTTGAGGCCTGCTCTGGTCTTCTGAAAACGTTTCCTTGTATGGAATGAATTCTTTTCCAAGTGAATAGTCTGACTTCTTCAAAAACACATTCACTGATAATCTTTTTGTGTTGCTTTTTGGTAAAACATTCTCAAGAAATACTATTTGAGTATGGAAAACAATTATGTTATTAGTTTATTAATTAAATACTTTAAATTGATGGCGCACCTTAAAATGTGTCAGGCACTATATTATAACAGCTTTGAAAAGATAAAGATAAAAACACACAGTGCCTGTTACCAAGGAACTGTATAAGGAAGAGAAACCAACAGAGCAGATACCATATTTTGAAGTCATGCGCTCAAAGAGTGTTACGTACTTAGTTTTTAGTTCCACACCCCATTTTGCCTAATGGCAGAAAAATAAGTTCAGTCAGCTACAGGTAAATTGAGTCACTTGAGGCTTTTCCCAATGATTTCAGGTTTACACTAAACCCGTGCACGATTTTCTCCTCCTCTATCCCCTCACGTAGACCTGACCTAAGCCCAGGAACACTTACATATATAGAGAAAGCCGAATGTGGTCCCCAGCCTCCTGTGTTTGTACATGGGCATCCGCTGAGACGTACAATCCTGTATGGTCCTTGGGCATCACGATCCCTCCACACAGACATCTCCCAGTGTGCCCACATTCCCGTCTGGCCCTAGACGCAGCATCCCCTCTTCATGACCTGGTTACCTCGGGTTTTATCAGCTTTTCCTTTCAGGTAACTTGTGTTCTTGTCCTTGGGGGAGGCAGGAAGAAGAACAAGTAGCAGCAGGGTTACTCTGTGCTGGTATTTGCTGACATAAATCCCAGGTCCCAAGTGCCCCACGCTGCTATCTCAGTTCTACTGTTTCCATCCCATGGAGTGCTTTGTGGGCTTCAGACAAGTGAGGCATAATTTCTGCTACATTAGAATACCCCAGCTTCTCGTCTTTCTACCTTTTGAGCTAATCCTGGGCAAGCAAGCTATGCAGAGGGTCCTTAGCAGACCCCAGTTGGGTTGGGCTCCCTTACTTCCTCTCAAACTTCCTTTCCAACCCCAAAATAATTTTGCTTGGATCTTTTCCTTCTGTGCCAGTAGTAAATTGGATCCACAAATTTTTGTCTCAAGTCTTTCTGTTTTATACCTAATTTATTAGTTTGCTAGGGCTGCTGTAACAAAAAGTACCTACCACACTGGGTAGCTCAGACCAGCAGAAATTAGTTTCACAGTCCTGGGGCTTAGAAGTGCTAAATCAAGGCATCAAACATGGCCAGATGCCCTCCAAAACCAACAGGAGAGGAGCCTTCCTTGCCTCTGAGCGGCTGGCAGCCCAGGCATCCCTTGACTTGTGACCATGTAAGTCCATTCTCTATCTATCTCTCTGTGGTGTCCTCCCATAGTTTTTCACATCATCTTCCCTCTGTGCATGCTCACTGTTGTTTTCAAATATCTCCTTTTATAAGGACACCAGTCATTTTGGATTAGGGTCCACACTAATGGCTTATTTTTAATGTGATTACCTCTGTAAAGTCCTCATGTCCAAATAAGGACATATTCTAAAATACTGGGGATTAAGACTTCAATATACCTTTTGAGGGAGGGTGAGAAGGGGAGGAGAACACAATTCAACTCTTAACAGTTACCCTGAAGTCTTTTGCATTTTAAAACGCAAGAATCTGATTATTCTTTGATCTGTTTCCCATAACAATTCCACTCAGGCAATAATAGTCTTGGTCTCTGGCCAGAATTTAAGGGAGTGGCTGGGGTAAGAGCCTCAGGTAATATGGAAAAAAATTCAGTAATAGTAACAACAATAACAAAAATCAACATTTATTCAGCGCTGTGTACCAGACACTGTTCTAAGCACTTTGCATATATTCATTTAATCCTCACCCATAGGAGGTATTATTATACACATTTGACAGATGAAACAAATAGGGAGGGAAGTAAAAACACATTAGTCAGTATTTCACATAACGTCTCACCACACAAGTAATTATCATTGAGGAAGATAACTGCTATGATACCAACATGTACCAGATGCTGGGGGAGCATAAAAGTAACAAGCTTCCACTAATTTAGAGCACTGCTACTCACACATTTAGTAACAATTCATGACATTTTACCTTTTCATTGTATGTGTTTTCTGTCATGAGATATTTCTATTTTCTAGGAACTTTTCCCTTTCTTCTCTAGTCACAGCCCTTAACTCTGCCAGTCCCTAGCCAGCACGCATACCGATTTCTCCACTAGTAACAATACTTAGAAGTGTCTTCATTCCAATGACCATATTTGGGTATCCATACACTCAAAAGAGTTTTCTGGGAAACTGGTTTTTTTAGGTGATTCTACTTTGTGAGTGTGTGTGAGAGTGTGTGTTTTAAAGTATAAACTCTATTCTGAGGAAAATAAGGGAGAATTATCCTGGATAAAATTAAAATTTGGGGTAAAAACAATGCAGCTCTATAACAAATTCAATAGAATTATAAGAAATTTAACAGAATTATATAGTTATAATAAGTATCAATATAAATTTATAACTTATAAATGTAAATTATACCAAATTCACCTGACTAAATTCATATATTATTATGGAATACTAGTCTCATCTAAATCACATATTCATTGCTAACATTTTTATTTGCTCCACTAGATCTGTTTAATGAGTAACAATTATTATTCCAAATATTCAAACCTGATTTAGCAATTTTCTTTTAAATTTTTCTAGATATCTCACTCTCATTGCCTTCCCCTCCCTTACAATTTGAAACAGTGGTTCCCTAGGCCTCGTCCAAACACAAAAATATCTATAAATGTAAATCTGAAAAATCAAAAGAATATACAGAGCTAAGGTAAATATATAAATACTATAATTAATATCCTAGAGACGTAAGAGTATATAACTTGTGTGAAGTGAGAATGGGATACCTTGGGATAGTAATAAAGTATAATAAAGAGTTCTCATAAATTATATGTATCATAGATAAAGCAGGGAGAAAATCAGTAGACAGTTTAAAAGAAAAAATTAAAGATATCTTTCAAAAAGTTGAAAAAAACACAAGGATATGAAAATGTGATTTAAAAAAAAAGAACATCAATCCCAAAATAAAATACCAAGTAGACATATTACCAGAAAAATTTCCAGAAATGAAAAGTCTCACCAAGTGTTCACTTGATGAAAAAGAACACACACTGAGATGCATTATAAAATGTATGTGTGTTATACTGAAATGAAGAGAAAAGACACATTAAGGATTTCGCAGTTGTCACTTCTCAGGAGAGGAACAAAATGAAGAATGAAATGTATGGAAATTTCAAGATTTGCTCTGTGTATTTCTGTTGTGTTTGTACTTTGTATAATTTTATGTGTGTATTATTAGTGTAATTAAACATTATTATGATATTAAAGTATATTAACTATGTACCTCCATATGATTTATATTTATTTATCCATCAGCTGTTCCCTTTTTGAGTCTAGAATAGACCCCTTCTGCTACCTGAAGAGACCCTGAAATCTGTCTTCTTCTGTAAGTCCTCATTATCATTGATTCAGAGCTTCTATGCTTCTGTCTTTAGTCACCTCCATAGCAAAGTTCCCTACCACTGTGCTTGCATTTATTTTTATTATTATGAATTTAAGTAAACATAAATTAATTTACATTACATTTTCTGTACATTCGCACCTCTACAGTCCAGTTTAGATCAGAATCTCCTGCTGGTAAATTCTGATACTAACTCACTTTTGTCCAATGCTTAATACAGAAGGTGCCAAAAAATGTATACACATTTTAAGAAAGGAAAATTAAAATTGTAATATTCAGTATATACCAATAACAAAAGATGAATACAAGTCATGTGTGTACATTCTTTTGGTATTCCAGTATATAAGGTGCTATAAATTATAGAAAGGAGTAAATGGTCTTTTTCTGATAAAGATAATTAAATACTTTTACATATATTACATCTTTTTCCTTTACAGCATCTCTACAAGTTGAAAAGTGTAGATATGTTTCACATTTTTCAGCTGAAGAAAAATGGTACAGGAAAGCACAAATTACATGGTGATAAAAAAGAGGAATAATTGTCAGTTCAAAGTTTATTCAGTAGACAACATGATTTTATATCAAGGACTCAAATATTCCAGATACAATAACTGTCAAAATATTACTTATTAGATGTGCTTGAATTTAGTAATATTAAAATTTTTTATCTTTATTGTAAAAGAATATTGCAGTAAAAAGACTCCATTTCCAAGTGGTTTTCAATATAGATTATTCTCCATGTTATCTCTATATAGCTATGGAATTACAACTTTGCAAAGGTAGCTTGGGCCACTACACTTTAATTGCTATCCCTCAGTATGAAATTACTTTTTTCATATATTTTTCATATATTTTTCTCATCCTCATTTCCCTCCCACACCTGGCCAGCTGCTATTTATTCTTGAAGACTCAGGATAATGAACTTGATATTCTGTCCTACACTCTCCACAAGTGATTAAGGCACCCTCTTCTGCATTCCCTAAGTTATATGGGTAGCATTATATTATATGGTTATATATTGTTGGGTTGTTGGAAAAGTCATGACGCATTTTTGCAACGAAAAACATAGAAAAAATGCGTCTTGACTTTTCTGACAACCTAATAGTATATCATC